GGGTAGGGTGGGAAATCAACCCCCAGTTGAGAACCACTGTTAAAGATGAATGTCCTAAGCTTTGGGCCACAGACTACCATATTAATCACTAGTGTCAGCTTAGTTGGAGCAGGCTTCAGGTATCCTCAAGTCACTTAGTGTATACAGATGACAGAAGCCCAACACCTAAGGCCACAAGAGCTTTTTACTACAGGGACTTAGAAGTTCAACAGGTTCAAAGGGTTAGGTTCTGCTTAGGTACTACAAGATTTTTCACAATTCCTGTCATTTATGGGAGCATACTCAAATTGCACATTCATTCAGGTCTGTTGTGCAGTGACTGCCTCAAATTTTGAAACTCAAAGTTATTGTATTCCTATTGGTGTCTCCCAAACAGAAATAAATTTGCCCTTATAGGAAATAACGTGGGCTATAGAGGCCATATAAAATGAATGAAAGGGTTGGCAGCTCCAAGAAAAATATATAATGGAGATAATAAATTTTGAAAACATAGTAATAATGTTTGCATTTCTCTTATGAGCCCCTCTCCTTGGTTGGCCAGAAGCATCTATCAGCCTCAAAGGAGAAATAGAGCTGTGATGTTGGGAATGCTGAAGAAAAAAAAGCAGCTTTAACTACTAAAATAAGGTTTTTGAGTCCCAAGGAACACAGTAGTCTGGAAAAAGCCAGACCTTACTATGAGAGAAAGGTTTTATAAAATTTGAAAGCCCCATTAAAATTTCAAATCCCAGACCTTGGCAAAATTAAAAGTGGCATTTAGTATATACCATATAGGAGAGAAAACAGAGGCTATGACATAGGAAAAGTGCCTGCTGGGTGGGAAGGAGGGAAAGCCTTTCAGTGCTGGTCTGGTGGAGGGTGGGATGGAGACAGGGCTTGACAGCAAGCAGTCATACCCAACTTGTTCTGGCTGAAGTCTCAGAACATGGGGGAGAGGAGGGGAGAGCAGGGAGGGTTTGTATTAACCTTTTCATTGCATTGATTTCAAGTTTGTTCTCCAAAATGTGTCAAAAATCCACAGAAAATAATTACAGCATTTATATTTTTAAGTAAATACAGTTAAGGTGCCACATTTTATTAAAATAAATGATTACTTTAAAGTATAAAATTTCCTATTGTTATTCATTCTTGAAAAACACAAAAATATAGAAAATGTACATCGGCTGTCCTAAACGTCCTTTCAGGAACACTGAGCTTGTGGGGTAAAGTCGAATGCCACAGTCAGCGGTGTGGAAATATCATTCGACTATAGACGACCATCGCAGCAAAAATGTTAAAGCATCCAAATGGATGTGGTATTGGAGAACCAGAAGAGATAGGAATTGGTAGTCCACTCTTCTAAGAAAGGAGGAGGGGCCTTGCATTTGGCTCTGCTCCTTTGAACATAACTCAGGAACAACAGTGTTCAATGGCAGAGGTGGCCTAGTTTGGTATCCTCAGATAACAGCTGGCTCTCAGCGGCCTGCAGGTGACACATGGGAGAAAACACATGTTCATACGTTCCCTCAGGAAGTAAAATTGGAGATGGCGAGCAATAAGGTGAACTAGCGGAGCTAAGAGGTCATAGTGCATGAGGGCTTTACAACCAGAGGTAAATGGCTGGAACCCTGGATCTGAGGAGTGGTTGCCAGCAGCTGCCACAAAAATCCAGGTGAAACCTGCGTTACCTTATTGAGGACTCACAAGTGTCCTGCAGAGCTGAGGCCTCATTTTCCCAACCCTACTGTGCAATCATGTGAATACCCAGTACAGATGGTATCCCTAGGATACCATCTTAGAGAGAAGCAAGAGAAGGGGGAAGAGTGAGAAGAGAGAGTAAGACTTTTCCAGAAAAAGACCAGCTACCCAAAGGGGCAGTTAAACTGGAAGAGACTAAGATACCTTTAATTGATACATTTAAGCTCCCATTGGCCTCTTTTCTCCCTTCTACTTACTCAGTGGAGTGAGGATTCAAGCGCAAAACGAAATCAACTATAGATAATAAAGAAGAGCCATTCTTTCTGTTTATCTGAGACTTATACATATTTTGGCCTAATATATACTTTGTGCTGCCAAGTTAACTTATAGAGAACTGCTCCCTTCCCTCCTTTCCTTCCATAAACACCTGTTGAATTGCTACAAGACATGTTAATTCATGGCACACACATGAATTAGGTGTCATTCCTGCACTTAGGGAGCTGGGGACCTAGCTGGCTAGTGAGCTGATGTTTTCACCGGGGTCAGAGGGCTCCATATAGATCCACATTGGGTGCTATGGGAGAAGCATCTCCCCAAGGGTTAGAAAGTGTCTAGGGAACTTCTGGAGAAGAGAGCTTCAGAGCTGAGTCTTAAGGATAACTGTAAGTTTGCCAGGAGACAGAGGAGGAAAGAAGGGCTTTTCAGGTGAAGGGAAGAGCATATGAACATAGCCGTGATGATTAGTTTTATGTCAACTTGACTTCTCCATGGGGTGCTCAGATGAAACATTATTTCAGAGTGTGCCTGTGAGGGTATTTCTGGATGAGATTAGCATTGAATCAGTGCACTTGGCAAACTAAATTGCCCTCCCCAATGTGGGTGGGCATTGTCCAATCCAATGAGGGCCTGAATAGAACAGAAGGCAGAAGTAGGGGGAATTTGCCTCCCCCCCCCCACCTTTTTTCTTCCTGCTTGCTTATTTGAGCTGGAACATTGGTCTTCTTCTGTCCTTGGACTGGGATTTACACCATTGCCTCCCCTGGTTCTCAGGCCTTTAGACTTGGACTGGAATGACACCACCACTTTCCTGGATCTCCAGCTTGTAGATGGGAGACTGAGACTTCTCAGCCCCCATTATCATGTGAGCCAATTCCTCAGAATAAATCAAACTCTCTTATCCAGTCTCTCACTCCCCCACCCTCTCTGGAGAACCCTAATACAATGGCCAGTTCTGAGATCTGCAAACAGCTTATTTCACTGATTTTAAGATTCGTTCTCCCCTTACCTCCCCCACCCAATTTTAACTTCTCTAAAATCAGGAGGCACCTAACAACCCAGGGTATCTTACCATTTTGTTCTTTATGATGGATAAAGGTTAGAGCACCCTAAAGTGAATGAAGTTTGTGTTTTGGGGACCCTCATTGGCATGGGCCCCTTCCAAGCCCTAATATTTAATTTGTATTTGTAATTTTGTGTTCACTCTCTTAGAATAGGTCCCCCAAATGTTATGAGCTTCAGGCCTCACATACCTGCATCCATCTTTAATGTATTTTAGAAGATTGGTAATTCAGTAGCTCTATGATTAGTATTTATAGGGGAGGGAGAAAGGATGAAGGAAAGGGAACAAAGATGAGTGGTGAGAGATTGGAGACTTAGGATCTAATTTCAGTGAGTGACAGCTACATCCATTCATCTGCTAGAAGAAGCCAGAAACCAGCTCCTGCCTCTCTCTCATGCCCCATGTTCAATCCATCATTAGGTCCATTATACTTCTCCTGTGACAGAGGCTCCTAGTTCTTTTTCAAACTCTGGTTTCTCCTTCTATAAGTAATAGAACTCTCTAGTTTTAGCCGGACACATGGCCACTCTGAACAAAGACTCCAGCCTCCCTTCTGGTTAAATGTGGACGTGAGGCTGAGTGTTGGTCAATAGAATGTGTGCTGTATCCTAAGGGTTTCCTTAAATTGAAGTGGTGTCTCATTCTCCCTCTCTTTCTTCCCTCCTGCTAGCAGGAATATGGACATGATGGCTGGAGCTGCAGCAGGCATCTTGGACCACGAGATGACTTTAGGAAATGGGGCTACTCATGGTGGAGCAAAATAGAAGCCTGGAACCCTTGTACTGTAGAGCTGTATATCAGCCCTGCATTACCTGCCTCTGGACTTTCACTAGAGAGAGAAATAAACTATCTCATGTAAGATACTGTTATTATTATTTTTTGTCACTGACAATTAAAATAATTTCCAAGTATTCCATTTTACTGCAAGTCCTCACACTATCCTAATCACAGTTACCAATATTTCTTGCCTGGAATTTTATAAGAATCTATTAATTGATGTCCCCATATTTACTCATATCCATCCCAGCCTCCTTCCAATGAGTTTTCTACATAATAGCCAAAGTGGCTGATTCAAAATGCAAACAGAATGTCACCCCCTGTATTAGTCTCCCTGGGCTGCCAATAATAGAATACCACAAACTGGGAGGCTAGAACAAAATGAATTCATTTTCTCAGTTCTGGAGGCTAGAAGTCCAAATCAAGGTGACAGCAGGCTTCCTTGGTTTGCAGACAGCCACCTTATCACTGTGTCCTCACATGGTCTTTCTCTCTGTATGTACAGAGAGTAATGTCTCTTCCTTTTATTTTTTTAAAATAAGGACACCAATCCTACTGGATTAGGATCTCACCCTTATGACTTCACTTAAAGGTTCCATCTCCAAATACAGACACATATTGGGAGTTAGAGTTTCAACATATAAATTTTGGGGGACACAATCGGTTCATAACACCCCCTTCCTTCAGTCATACCCATGGCTTCTCATTGCTCTTAGGGTAAAGTTGAGTAGCCCAAGACTCCTATGTGGTCTGGGCCTTACCTATCTCTTCATTTTCATCTCAGCATGCTCTTCCTCACTGGCCATGTTGTAGTAACACTGGCCTTTCATTTTCTCAGGTATGCTG